TGAAATTGGGAGTAGAATGTGATAGAAGGGGTGTGTGGGATAAAATGACGAGGATAAGAGCTAAACAGCATTGCCATCTAAGATCACGAGAACAACACCAACCTTGAATGAATCACCATTACAATCATCTTCCGAAATGATCATGGCATTCGTTCTCATTCCGGGCGAAGGAGGGGGGGGGGGNNATCATGAGTTGAAACTTCGCCGACTGAAAATAGGTGAACGATGGTTTGACTGACATACTCTTCGATTTCGACTAACCAACTCTATCTATGAACAACGGTTAGTGAGTAGAACTCTTGAGCGGTCGAAGTTTACTGGAGCGTGATACTGACTTGCTTGAACAAGAAAAACGAATGGAAGAGAAAAAGATGTCGGAGAGGGAGTTATCTGAACATGTCTAGATGTTTGTCATTACCCACCACCACCTCGCTTCTGCGAATGTGTGTGTCTGTATGTATCAAAAGCTCTCAATGACCGCGGGAGTTAAACAAAGTTTTGTTGTGTTAGATAGGGGCATATGGTGTGTGTGTGTGTGTGTGTGTGTGATAGAGAGGGAGAGAGATAATTGGCTAAGAAGGGCAACAGAGATAATTTAAAATACTCGAACATATTGTCGTCTACAGACGCGTCCTTGCATGTGCTCGTTTGGGCAGCCCACTGCTCCTCTATCACATGCGCGTGAACATACTGGTGTTAATATGTGTTTGTGACTGTGTGATTGTGTGTTACGGTAAAATATTTTGCGGTGAGACGGATAAAGCACAAAGGAATTCAGGTTGCTCTTGGAAAACCGATTGGAATTCGATTTCTATAGAACATTTGCAAACGATGGAAAATTTAAGGTGCGATGCGAATTGGCCCGAGATAGCGATATGTTCTGTTAGCATTTTTTTCGTTAGTAAAAAATGAATGAGTAACATGTTGATACTTGACAGTGGCCAAGTGTGTGTGCATGACAAAGTATAAGGTGAAGTGAAAGGAAACTCTGGGAAATATCACTCACACATCAAATCATTGAAGTTTCGAGGGAAATCAAACGTTCTTCTTTTGAAGCAGAAATATTGGACAATAAGCCTGTACAGGTTATTCATAAAAGGCCATTCAAAATAAGATACTCTATATGCAATTGACTACGAAGGACTAAATGCGTGTATATAGCTAGATAGATTTACTGGTTTGAATAGTAAAGGACTGCAGTAAGCGCAGCGTAGTTTCATTTACTCAATCAAACAATGAACCACGAGGATGATATACATATACATATATCGATAACTATGGGTGAGGATTATTGATTACGAACTTTATCCCCCATTGTAATGTGCATAGTTCTCTTGCATCATCGTCTGAATTTGAACGATCTTCAGTATAGCGATCGAATTTCTAGTAATTCGAAAGTTACATCTCAGAATTCAAAATTATTTAAAACAAAGCAGGATGGGCGTCTATTCTTTCTATTAAATAATTGTTGTTTCGTGAGAATGTTTATTCTGGTCAACACGTGTATTTTAAATTACTTCGTCGCACTGATAAGGAAGGTTTTCGATAAATGCTACTCTGGAAATGCTTTCGCGGAAATCATATTTTTCCCAGATAAAGTTAAATATAGCCTTCTGCTCCAGGTTGATCATAGAAAACGTTTAGACCCCGTTAAATATTGTTTCCCCCTCCCCACACACACAATTATGCAGTTTCCGGAGGTGGGTCAAGTCCAATATCGAATTCGTTAAGTTACCGTCCAACAGATGAGTTTGGAATGTAATCGAACATTTTTTCCCGTGTCAGAAATAGGGATAAGTTATCTACCTCGACAGTGGTTCTCATTGGTCAGGGTGTGG